TTTCAAGCTTAATACTTCAGCTGATGACATCAAAGTGAGCTCCACAGTAGGAACAAAGCCAGAGTACGCATTAGAGATTGTCACCTTTGATTTAAGATTCTTTTGAGAAGTCAGAAAGAAACATTTTGCTTTCTAACTGAATCTTTTACCATTTGCATAGGCTGAAATTTAATACAGGCTATTTCAAACTCAAGCTAGCCTGATGAAATATAAAACATGAATTGGCTTAAGACTTCAGAATAACTCAAACTTATTGCAGAAATACCAATGCATTCAGCTGTACTAATCACCTTCAGCGCTTTTTGCTGAGCACTTACATTAAAACTGCTTCTTGTACAAATGAAATTCGTCTTTCAAACTGTCCGAGGTTTGTTTAAAATTACCTTCAAGTGCGGGTTACAATTCTTCTGCAGTTTTTTAGTACATTGGCTCCCTCTCCTGTTCATTGGGTGTAAGCAAGAAACTGATCAAACACTGCCAGTTAAAGAAGTTTCTTTGCACTTCCATGATTGCTTATTGGAAGCATGTTTCTGATGCTCACAAGAAAAGACAGTTTCTTGGGTACACAGTTGAAACCAAACCGTTTTCAGTGAATTAAGACAAATTTTAAAACAATGCAAAAGGATTTGTCAAGTCTTTAACTGGAAACTTTTTTAAAGCCCACTACAGAGTTAAGAGATGTGTGAATTAAAGACACATTTGAGTAGTGAAGTACAAGAAGGTGCCTGCAGTTCAGACAGTGCAAAAGAAGTATACATTTTAATAGTAACATAAAATGAAGAAGAGAAAGACCAGATGGGTAAGCCAACCAGTGACAATTTGTGCATGAGAATTACAATCATTCATTATGGCAAAGGTTTGTGGAATTGAAAATGTGGTACCTTTCCTATAAAAATACCACTGGAAGGACTCCAGACCTAACATCTAATATTCGCCCCAGGAAGTGATTGTTCCTCTGTACCCAGCACTGGTGAGGGCACACCTTGAGTACTGTGTCCAGTTCAGGGCCCCTCACTACAAGAAAGACATTGAGGTGCTGAAACAAGTCCAGAGAAGGGCAGTGAAGCTGGAGAAGGATCTAGAGAGTAAGTTCTATGAGGAAAAGCTGAGGGAACTGGGATTGTTTAGCGTGGAGAAGAGGAAGCTCAGGGATGATCTTATAACTCTCTACAAGTACCTGAATGGAGGTTGTAGCCAAGCGGGGGTCAGTCTCTTCTCTCTAGTGACAGGGAGAGAGGACAGAGCCTCAAGCTGTGCCAGGGGAAGTTTAGGCTGGACATCAAGAATTTCTTCATGGATAGGGTTGTTCAGCATTGGAATGGAATGTCCAGGGATGTGGTGGAGTCACCATCCCTGGAGGCACTCAAGGAACAACTGGACGTGTTTTGCACTTAGTGTCATGGTCTAGGGACAAGGTGGTGCTTGGTCAAAGGTTGGAATCAATGATATTGGAGGTCTTTTCCAACCCAAATGATTATGAGATTAATAGCAAATAAACTGACAGAATAACTGGAAATAAAATGACAGAGTCCTACAGGAAACATGGCAAGGTAAGGAGAAGTCGGATTTCCTTTCCCCTCTGTTCTCCAACTAACAAATCAGCAGTGGAAGGAGAAATATGAGACATGCCTTCAGGGAAAGGCTGGTTACAGTCAGCATAGGCACATTCCTGCAATTAAACCTAGGTAAGCAAGAATACCAGATTCTTGAGGGTACTGGTGACATGTAGGTGACATCAATATTTTTAAAATTCAGTATATGTGATACATCTTTCCTACTTGTCTAGAAGCACTACACATCAGGGAATGCTCACATCACCACACTGCATCTCATATCAACGAAAAAAAGAATCTTGAGATATAGTACAGGTAAAATCAACCTGCTTTATTTAGGTCCATTAAAAATTTAGAATTAAAGAAGATTAATAAAAGGCATTGTCCCAAGAACCAAAAGACATCTTAAAAAGAAATTGTCACCAAACTCTCATGAATGAATGGGACCATCAGCGGTGAATTTCTGCAGATTATGGTAAGAGTGAGACTACTACTCAGCGTTTCCAAGAACAGTTTTTGATTTGAGTGCTTATGATCAAAATCTGGCAGTGTGGTACAATGGGGACAGCAAGCACAGCCTTATATACATAAGTATATAACATAGGAAGGAAGGGGAAGATGCATCTGGAGAGTGGGTGATTCTGAAAGATACAAGGCAGAGGCTTATATTGCATAAGCAAGCTGCATTGAACAGCTTTAATGAGATGTAAAACCAGCAGAGTAATAACTTCTGATCTCTACTGCCAGGTTTATTTTTATCCAACACTGTTTAAAATTAAATGCATAAATAACCTGGAAAGCACACACCTCCCCTGCTCCAAGGTATGTGTTTTGAACACTTTGCTATAGTTAGTTCCTCCTTTGCTAATTTACTTTCTAGCTCTCCTTTTGCATAATGCTCCAACAGAAGCATAGAGGATCTTCTTCCCAGCACACACATTCAGTTTGGTGGTTAATTCAGTCTTCTGGAAACTTGGGGATGCAAATCTGTATCATGTCACAGAAGCAAACATCATCCATGTCTCCCATCCCCTGTGAGACCTCTAACCAGAATATTCAAAAGGTGACCATATTTTCTGTATTTCAGACAAAAAGAACAATCCTGGAAAAAAACATGCAAGTACTTACATGCAAGCTCTGAATCATGGGTAGATAGTGACAATTACCTGGAATTCTGACTCAGCCATTGCAGCATGGGAAGGGACAGGATTTCACACCCTTTCCCAGTGTAACATTTCCTACTGCTAGCTCTGGGCTGCGCACCTCCCAGAAGAACCTGGTTTTCAGGATGTCAGTTTGAAATGGTTCAACTAATCTTGTATGCAGTAAACCTCAGATTTCTGTTGGCTTTGGCCCTGGAAGAGTTTTTAGGATGTGTTTTGGATAAAGGCAAATGACAAGGTTTAGTACAGAGGTAAATGTGTGCAATTCAATGGCCTTTGATAAATGTAAGACGAGAATATCTAATTCTTATCTATTAGCTGTTTTTGTTCTTCCCCCAAAGAGAAGCATAATGTATCACATTTCTTTTGGATCACTGATACTGTATTTTATACTGAAAAAAGAAAGTATTACATAATCCTTTACAAGACTATATCTATCAAAATGAACAGATCTTTAACTGAAGCAATTATCTACAACTGGACAGGCAGCAACAAGTGGAACTTCACCAAGTTAAGTTGTTTTTAGAGTGGTTACACTTGAATTGTTAAGACTCTAAATAAACAAAATAGCTTCTGTATAATTTTAAAAGTAGCCTACTTATTTTGAAGTCATACAGTGAAAAGGTTTACTTTTGTATTTTACCTTTTTCCCAGTTGTTATTGACAATCTTCACTCCTTTGCAAAAGTACATGTGAAAATATTACAAGATCAGTTTTAAAGGCATGCCCCGCCAAATCCATGAGCTAGTAGCCAAGAACCATTTCTATGAGATGTTGCAACGTTTGGCAACGGTGCCTTGATTCCCTAATTTGGAACTGTAAAGGAACTACTGAAATGCCAAGTGTCTAGACTGATACCACTGTCAGAAAGAAAACCACTAAACGTGGTACTTCGTAAAACAAAGGCAAACCCCACTCCTACTCTGTAATATAAACTAGAAATCAAAGAACTACAGCTCGATTACACAACTGACCTGGACATCTATTTCCCACCCTGCAAAGAACCCACCCAGGCCCCTACACTAAGACTTCTCTCAAGAAGTGGTGATCTAACCTCCTTCTGTTTCAGTATTCTTTGCTTATCCTTTACTAGAAACACCATAGTATTGTGTTTGTCCAGTGGCAAATGGCTGCTAGTTACCTCCAACAAATCTTTTAAGCCCTTGCTGTCTAGGGCTGTATATATAAAAATATGAGATTTTAAAGGTCTGAAGGGCCTTTTCCCTAAAATGTAAACAAGGATACATGTTTAGTTTAAAATTAAAAAGTTGTATTTTCTCCCTCTTCAGTGGTACATATAAGCAACACTTTTACCAAGGTCTCTGAGGTACAGACAGATAGAACAACCAAGCTCAACTGCGTCCCCTGCTTACGCTGGGCAGAGGATCACTCTGCTTCTTCATGAAGTTTTTCTGAGGACGGGTAGCTTACTTTTTGCAAATTGTTGCCTTTGCAGAATTAAACGGCACCTTACCAAAAAATACGCTTCTCTAACTGATCTGGAAAAGAAACAAGTTGTAGAGAAAAGGAACTTAGAGATCACAAAGTCTGTTTTGATCTCATAAAGGTGCTGACAGAACAGTGTCACAACTCTGCATGCAATCCACTATAACCATTTTAGAAGACTGCAGAGTTGGATATCATTACATTCTATATTTACAACTGCTCTATCAGGATTTTGGCAGAGAGAAAACTAAGTTCTGCACAGCCATAAAGGTGCTTATAAACATCACTTCTGAAAACTGGAACAGTAATAAACTACTGCAATTTGAAGCTCTGTCTTAACAAGTTTTTACTAAAAAGAAGCTGCTGTTGGTTAATATTGTCTGTCTCCCTAACTGCAAGAAATGTGCTTGCAAGTTAATTTGGAAAGAAAAAATAATCACAACACATATGGCAGCAACTACTGAGACCACTGTTAGTAATCTTAGTTCTTTTTAAGCTTTATAGTGAATAACACCTTGTTGCAGCTTAGGCACTAAGCACACTCTGATATAACTCAACTCAGCCCATCCTACAGCACAGCTACAGCTTTTGAGCTACTCTATTTCCCTTCCTACTTGGGAATCACAGCAAAAGTGCTGTTAAGAAGCACATTGATAAAAAAGCTTTGCTGATTCTAGTTCAAAATGCTTTAAGTCTACCAGGCTTTTAAGTACTTCTCCCACCAACTCAATTAGCATTTACTTTTTTTTTCACATGGAGTTTTTGGTTATCTGGTTTCCCAATGATGTAAATCTGGGCACCTACAGTTTTTCACTGAATTTCAGACACACACAGCAAAAAACTTTAATTTTTTTTTAATTTACAGTATTGATTGCTCCAAGTTATGCCTTACTGTTGGTACACAGCAAATACATTCTTCTGAACAACTTGCCTAGTACGAAATAAAACAGTTAAAACACTAAAAACACTGCTTTACAATGTGCGTAACAGAACCTTCTGAAGTAATGACAGGCTACAGCCAGGCACAGAGGAAGACTTCTGTGTTTTGTTTTCTAGTCTACCAGCACATTCACTCCTGTACCCCTTCATCTGAAACTGCAACATAAGATTTTAGGTGAACCCTTCTGCTGAATTAAGAAGATTAAATAACTCTCAGCTTGGTTTTTAGCACTTGTATTTCCAGATCAGGATGTTTCTCTGTTCTATTCATTCCACTAAGAATGGCTGTTTTCAGAAGATGTACTGAATGAAGGGCTTCAATAACACTTCAAAACTGAAGATGTTTCTGAAGGGGAGTTACACCCTGTGGTACATGCAGTGTCAAAAGTCTGGATGAATCAGGTGACATGCTTCCCCCAGATAAAAGACAAGTGGCTGGGCACAACTGCCATTTCACAAATACTTATATCAGACGAAATGCATCATTAATGCAAGCTTTAGACAGATTGATATATACTGCAACACCTAGCACTGATTAAATTTAGAAAAATATTATGTTAGGGTTGAGTGTTTTTAAGTCTTTGTTGTTTTGCTGGTAGGTTGTTTTTTAAGTCTTTAAAGTAATGTATGGTGGAAGATGCCAAAAACCACCCTGCTTTTTAATCTGAAAGAGTTGGGCTGTCAAAGCTAGTATGCTGCTGACAATGACTCATTTGATTATTTATATACCTTTTTTAAACAATGAAGAGGCAGGAAATGCTTTTAGTTTTGTTTTTTTTTTTCTTTTTAATCTTTATGATCATGAACCCAATTACATAGTTTCTGTTAAGTTAATGGCTGCCAAACAAGCGTGTGCCCCAGTGACCCACCGTGAGCAAGGTTATCTGATGGGTCAGACAGATTTTAAGGTTAGACACAGTACATGTAAAAATAGAAAGTTTAAAAACCATCACAGACATTTCCCTTGCCATCTCCTTTGTGAAATAAATAAGGCAGCAGATAACTTTTACTTTGCAGTGGCATCTTTGAGGTATGCTATCAAGTCTGCTCTCTCAGTCTTCTTCTTAATACCCGCAAAAATCATCTTTGTTCCTGGGATATACTTCTTTGGATTTTCCAAATACTCCATCAGAGTATCCTCACCCCAGGTGATACCTAGAAAAAATGAAAAAAAAAAAAAAGATACTTAATGACTCTGAAATAATAGGGATGACGAGAATATAAGTGAGTTTATTATTTTATTTTTTGGCATACTTCAGTACTTCTAGAACTGTCACTGAGAACTGAGTGTTTTTGTTCCTTAGCTCAAAAGAGCAACTTTAGGTTTACCTTTGTTCTTATTAGCATCCGTGTACGAGAAACCTGGAGCTTGTCCAGTCTTGCGTCCGAACAGGCCATGCAGGTTGGGTCCAGTCTTATGCTTCCCTCCCTTCTCGACTGTGTGGCACTGGGAACATTTCTGGACAAAGATCTTCTTGCCCTTCTCGATATCTCCCATTTTCAGCACTAGACCAAGCACACAGAGGTCAGTATCGCCATTTCAAGGTCACGAACCAAATAGAAACTTTAACAGTGTCCCGCTGGTTTACAAAGCTAACATCTGTTGCCCTTGGGCCTGGGAATTCTCCAGCACACGATATATCCACAAGCTATAGCTCCTGGGCTCGGAAATTAGTACAGAACTATGCATAAGGTATCAAGATCTTAAACATGCTTGAAGAGCAAGAAAAACCTTCCCTCACACAAGGTAATCGCCCCACGGCACTTAAAGGGCACGACGACAGCTTGTGAGGAGCAAACTTAACACAAGTCCTACATGCAGTTCGTATACCTGTAACAGGAAGGTTTCTTGGTCGCGAACAGCCCCGTGTGACAGCACAAGACTGTTAAGAGGCTTTCTTTTCCAGCTGAAAAGCGCACCAGCAGGACCAGAGGACGGCGGGCCCCGGGCTGTCCCCGTGACCCCGGATGACCCCAGAGTCCCCGCCGGCAGGAGCGCCCAAGGGCGCCCGTAGCGCCCAGCCCCGGCTCCCTCTACACCACGTTGACCTTGGGCTTCTCCTCCAGGGCCCGGCCCGTCGTGAGGCCACCCAGCCCCGCCATGACCTTCCTCTGCCCCCAGGCCGCCGCCTCAGGCCGCGGCCCCGGAGGGCGGGATGGCCTCAGGACCACCGGGCGCGCCGCCCGCTCCCCGCCTTCCCCGCCCAGCCCTCGCCGCACCGCCGGGCCCACACACAGCTCGGCTGCGCCCGGCCCGTGCCCGCACCTGCCTGCCCGGCTGCCCCGCTGCGCCCTCAATGGCGGTGACCGCGCTCCGACAGCCCCGGCTGGGTCTGGCCCAAGGACACGCCGTGCTCCGCCCTATGTAACCCGGCGCCGCCGCAACCAACCTCTGCCGGCGCGCGGGGCCCGCCCCCCGGCACCACAGCCAATCAACCGCCGGCCTCAGGAGCTCTGACTGGTTGGGACCGCTGTCCGTCAAGTGACGTCACGGCGCGGGGCGCTAGCGGGGTAGGTTGCGCCCGGCGGGCCTGAGCACTTCCTTCCTGCCCCGCCCCCACCGCCGGCGGAATGGCGTCACACGTCGCTCTGGCGCGCGCGGGAGCAGGGGGCCAGAGGTGCGGGAAAACGGGCTGCGGCGCATGCGCACAGCGCCAGTCGAGGCGAGGGTCGCGCGGCGACCTGAGCGGCGCGCGGTCTGAGAGGGCACGTGGCCACGGCGGCGGGGGCGGGGCCCTGACAGTGACGTCACTGTAGACACGCCCCCTCCCGTCCCCTTCGCGGGAGCGAAGGGAGCGGGCACAGGGCGGGATGGAGGGACGCGCCCCACCTGTCACAGCATCGCTTGGGTTGCAAAAGATCTGCATTGTCATTCAGTCCAACCTAAAACCCGTCACCGCCACGTCAACTACACCTTGGCACTGAGTGCCACGGCCCGTCTCTCCTTCAAACACTCCCAGGGGCGGTGACTCCAACACCTTCCTGGGCAGCTCATTCAATGTCTAATCAGTCTTTCTGGGAAGAAATTTCAACTAATATCCTACTTAAACCTCCCTGGAGCAGCTTGAGACTGTGTCGTGTCGTCCTGTCAGTGGTTGCCTGGGAGAAGAGACCAACCCCCACCTGGCTGCAACCTCCTTCCAGATAGTTGTAGAGAGTGATAAGGTCACCCTTGAACCTCCTGTTCTCCAAGCTGAACACCCCCAACTCCCTCAGCTGCTCCTCACAGGACTTGTGCTCCAGACCCTTCACCAGCTTGTCCAAGAGTTTTAAAAGCCAAGGGAGCCAAGGGTGTAGCAATGTGGAAGTGTCACAGGTGGCCAAAGTGAGGGTATTTTGCCTCGAAATCTCCCCGATAACGCTGCCCGTAGCGCCTGCTGTGCGCTGCCACGTGGGGCTGGAGCGAAGCACGTGCAGGGATGAATCCTCCGTCTCATGTGCGATGCCAAAATAGTACTGTCCTGACAAAGATGAGAGGGTTACAGGAGGGACCACTGCCTGGACGGTAGTCTCAGGCATCAGCCCAGCAGGCTGGACAGTGTGGTGGTGCTTAAAGAGGACATGTTGATATTCACATGTTGTGGACTTACAAGCAGAATTTAAAAAATGAATTCCGGACATGGCTACCATCCCACTCTCCTTGGCAAGGAAGAGGAAGAGCTATTAGAAAAGCCCAGTGTCATAATGTCCAGTATTCAGAAGAGATGGACTCTTTGCCTTAACTGTGGACATTAAAATTATGAGAATTTTCCACTGTCTGGTATTTGGAAAACTTTTTTTTCTGTGTGTGCTTTTATGCTCTGCTGGAACTGGTGTAAGTGTGCTCCAGTAATTGCCTGTGGAGCAGTTCTCATCCAAAGTGCCAATATGAAGAAGAAAGGACTGAGGACAGTAAAAATATACCAAAGGTTCTTCTGATGGCAGGATTTTGCAGATAATTCCAAGTAAGAACATTTAGAAATCATCACTCCGTAGTTCAGACAGTGCATTGTCTTCGAATGCTTGTCGTGTTTATAGCACTTTTTTTTTTAAGATTTTTTACTGTGATTGTAAGGACTGAATTTGATTTAATAAGGCTTCTGTGTCTTAGATGATTCCAGGAGCCAGATGTATGTAACTTAATATCACAAGACTCTTAGCAGAACCCCGCGTCTCTCATATCTTTAAAGGAGGAAGGAGCTGAACGCACCTTTTAAGCTGCTCTAAGAAATTACAGCAGTGTAAATTCTTAAGCTTCTTTAAGCACTTGATGTGGACTGATGCCCAGCTGACATCTACTCACAGGTTCTCTCTTCACAGAATACGGACTTCAAGCACCTGTAGCTCTCTTAATTTCTGTTGTATTTTACCTTTTAAATTTTTTCATCCTGAGCATTGCACGTTAACCCTTCATAGTTAACCCTTCTGATGCATGTGGAGGGGCATTGTAGCAATGTCTTTTTAGTTGTTGTTTTTTTTTTCCCAGGAAGCTGTTTCTGAAAGCTCTAACTTAATTCAGGACAACCAAATTGTTTTTTGTTAAACTTTTGAAGTAAGGAAATAAGGCTCTCAGGGAAAATATTGAACCTGTGAGGTTTTGAGAGCTAAAGATTAGTACACTGAAATCAATCTGTAAAATGAGCTGTTATTTTCTCAGCCTTACACTTGATGTCTGCAATGTAACTGACTGCCAGCAGTCATGATGTAATACACTTTCCTGAAGGTGGAAATGATACAAATAGTGCATTTGTGGGTTCTGCCTGATGTAAAAAGATACTAGTTTAGAAGATGTGTTTTCACCAATAAAAAGAAGTATCTTGAGTGGAGAGGATTTGTCTTGTGTGATTAGGCCCATTTGGGTGTTACTAAGTGTGGATTTAGAGCAACACAGTGGTAAGAACTGGTCTGTGAGCAAAATACGAGGTGCAGGAAGAGGGGTTGTTCAAACAACCCGCTGTTTACTTTTTGAAGTGTTCTCTGGTAGGACAGACTAATAGTGAAATTTTAGTCTTCTCTGCTAAATATGGCATCTGTAGTGTATGTGTGAATCCCACACATGTCGTATGACTTCCTCTGTAGGACAGAATATGTTGTGGGACTTCCAGAGGCAACACTGAAGACAAAGTCAGGGCCTTTCTGGCTTTGTGGTTTGAATTGCTGGAGTAAACTAAAATGACTCAGGGTGCATTTTTAATGCTCTATGTTTTTCTACGTATATTAACATCCATTAGACTGTTTGCCTAGAAGGCTCATATTTTAGTCTTTTAATTATTCGCTGTGGTTACACATGAAATACTAGCCTGAGCTAGTAAAAAGTCACACTGGAACAATAGTTATTTTGCAATCAGAATTCTGAATGTAATTCTGTCCTAAAGAAAGGAAAAATAAACCAACTGCGTGAAGTCCAGTAGTAAAAGAAACATATCAAAAGAGCCATCTAGCTCTCTTCAGGAGGTATGCTGCAGATAAAAGAAGAAAGATGGCATTGCATTATGGGCCTAGACTGGAACTCAGGAGAACACGTGATTTTTTTTCTCTCAATTCTGTCATAAACTTGTTTTTTGGTCTTTGGTAAATACCTTAAGAACCCATTTCTTGTGTTGAAATCTTCAGCGATGAGGTGTTTGAGTACCTTGGCCTCTTTTCATCCTTTTACCACGTGGAAGTGGACTAAGCCTGAGCTACTGCCAATTGTCAGTGAATTGTGCCAGCACTGGGGAGTCTGTGATTTGTGCTGCAGTCACAGTCATGTGAGCCGGTTTTAAGAAAGAGCTTGAGTTATGACCTGAGTCATAAATCTTATCTTGTTACAAAACACTACTGACTAATTTGCACCATTATGAATTGTTCAGAAGATCTGCTTGCCTTTTTTTTTTGTTTTGTTTTGGTTTTGGTTTTGGTTTTAATATTTACCTTTGAAATTGTTTGGGAGAAAGGTGTCTCTCCATAGTTTTTTCAAATCCTTGTTTACCAACATGAAAGAGTGATTCTGGGCTGGGCTTGAGAAATCCTTGATGCTAGGACCCTTCAAGAATAATTTGCAATGACAAACATGCTTTGAGGGCTACTTTTCAAAACTGTTATAGTGCAAGTCCTTTCATTTGGAATATGCTAATGGGTTTTATGTTTATTGTGTCTTTTACCCATTCATCCAAACAGGTGAGGAAAAAAGTGAAAAAGTATTAGAGACTGAAATGCTGGGACAAGAAGGCACAATCTTAAGCTCTACCAGGGGAAGTTTAGGTTGGATATTAGGAAGAAATTTTTTACGGAGAGAGTAATCAGACATTGGAATGGGCTGCCCAGGAGGAGGTGGATTCACTGTCCCTGGAGGTTTTTAAGATGAGACTGGATGTAGCACTTAGTGCCATGGTCTAGCAGCCACAGCAGTGTTGGATCAAGGGTTGGACTTGATGATCTTGGAGGTCTTTTCGAACCTGGCTGATTCTATGATTCTCTGATTCTATGAAAAGGGATTAAAAAATGCCTAATGAATGGTGTGCCTCTAATCTTTGCTGCTTGTTGTGTTTTATACAGTCTAAGATAAAGAAGTTAACCCACAAGGACATTCACATTTGAAAGATTCAGGACCCAGTAATTTTTCAGAAGTTCAGCCTTTCTCAAAAACATAATTTTGTTGGGTTTTTTTGAAAAAGAACTTTAAATTAAAATTGACTTTAAGGATTCAGAAATTGAAAGACAAATGAAAGGGTATTCTTTTATTAAGCCCATTATGATTTTAACTTTAAGGCTAGTTTCATGCTATTGTGAAGTCTGCCACAGTTTGCTGGAAGGCTTAAAATAACAGACATATAACAAATGTCCTTGAACATTGTCTAAGAGTCTGATTCTGTCTGACAAAAAACATGCACAGTAACAGTAACTTCTACTGGCCTCAATTTCTGCTTTTAGGTGGCAAGTAATTGGTCAAAGCTACCATATTTTCCGTTTTAAAAAAAAATAATTTCTTTGTAATGAACCAAACAGTTGTAAGAATTTCAGCTGTATCCTATTTGTGGGGGATGACAGTTACTTATACATTTGCTTTGTGTATCTGTGGGAGCCAAAGATTGCTGTCCTCTCATTTGTATGATCAGTTGGGATATTATCTTCTGAATAATCCAAGCTATAGAGTAAGAAGTACCTTTGCAACAGCTTAAATTCAGATATTGTGAAATCAGTCTCCAAAGCATCAACTTAGCCCTGAGAAAAGCTTCAAATTAAGACTCCTTTTGCAAGGAGATTTGTGTGGTTGGGTCTCCTTATGTAATGATGATATGCTAATCTAATGTAATCTGCTAAAGCGACGCAGTTCTTGTGTGAAAGGTATAGGCTAGACAGGAGGACTTTTCATGAAGTAAGAACACTAGCATGGCCCCATAACTCAGGTAAGTCTTAAACAATACAAGCTTTGCTTGTGTTAGGATTTTCAAAGGAGAAACAGTTTATAACATAAGTAGAAGCAAGGCCATAAACTGGCAAATTTATTCTCCCATAGAAATAAAACTAGTGTGCTTTGGCAGGCTCAATGCTTGCAAGTGTATCCCTGGTCCTCTGCAGAGCTACAAGGGCTCTGTGGGTAGCAGCAGGACGAGCTGTTGAATGGGAAGCCTAACCAAGTCATGACACAATGTGTTCTTGACTCACAGATTGCCTCCTTCTTAGTCTTCTTCACTGACAGGAAGTCCCTCTTCTGCAGGTGGTAGAATACATGGGATGTTTCTGTCAGTGGAGAGGTGCGTTATCTTACACTTGGTTTGCAGCCTGTTTTCTCAAGTTTTCAAGGGTTTTGTAACCAAATAATCACCTGGCTGTCAGTTTTAGAATAAGGTTTTAATAGCCCGGCTTCATTGCTTTTTTTTACATCTGACTTTAGGTGCATGTGAAGTGTTATATCAGACCACATTAGTGGGTTAGCGCTGTTTCTGACAATTATGAATGCAGAAACAAACAACTGCCCTGGATGAGTTTATAATCCTAAAGCATGAAGTTTCAGAGCTCTGAGAACACATAATCCAAATTACAAGGAATGAAGATGTTTTTCTTATACTTTGTAGGACATGTCTCTAAACCTTTTTAAAAATTATGTCAATCTTTTTTTGCCTCCATCATATTCTAAGTATAAAACTAAAAAAGTAAATCAGAGTCTACTTTCTAAGCTTTTTCTTTCACCTGATAAACTTGACCGCACAAAAAGTCACAGAGGTTTTTCATTCAGAGTCTTACAGATACAAGATATAAATGACTGATGAAACTTTTCTGTAGTAAATATGTTATGTACTCATTGCTAAGTTGTAGCTTATATTTGGGGGGAGGGTTGGGAGATTTTTGTTGGTTTGTTTGTATAGGTTTGGGTTTGGTTTTGTTTGTTTGTTTTTTTGTTTGATTGTTGTTTCTTTTCAGAAAGAACAAGTCAAGTTGTTATTGGGGCATAACTAATCCCTTCTTTTTAAAAATTGTTGTACTTTCTCAGACTTTTTTGCTTTTTGTTACTTATGAAATATGCTGAACAAAACTGAATGCAAGATACACAAAGAAGATAATATTCTGTCTTCTCTGCTGCATAACATTAGTCTCTCCTGAATTGTGCTAGAAGCAGAGCAAAAGGCAGGAGTCTGCACTTACTTTGAAATCATTCCTCCAGGAGATAACAACTATTTTAAAACCCGTTTGTGGCTGAGTTGTCTTCAACAGTTCTTTGGAGTAAGTTTCTTCATACTTCACTTTTAAATTTCCTCTGTTATTATGCTGCTCAATTATTTTTGTGTTAAATCCTCTGGATACTCTCCTGTACTCTTCTTGTGTCCTAATAAATGCGTGAATCATCTTTGTTTTAAGAACCACAAGTCTGATTGTTTCTGAGATGTGTAAAGGTGGGATAGAAAGTGAGGATCCCATCCTGATGGAAAGTAAGGTCTCATGTCATTTTACTTATATCCTCTCAGTAGCCACTGAGCCCTTTGTAGTCTGAATACTTGCACAGAAAATAGTGCACTGCTGGGACAGTGTTTTCTGACTGACCTCCTGAAGATCTCACACGTGAATAAAGTAATAGGGGATTTATGCCATGATTCTTTGCTAGTATCATTTTCTGTAAGGGAAAGTCCAGTGGATAAGGACGAGCTGGAAGCAAGGTTCTGTTTGAGCCATATGTTCAGAGTATGATCCTGGCATTCTCTTGAGCACTGGTGATTTCCTTGAAGGGAGAGTGAAATACATCTGATCTATTAATGGGACAACTTAGAAGACCAATGAAAAAATTCTCAATGCAAAACACAATGGCCTTTTGCTCCCTCCTCAGGCACTCTCCAGGAAACAACTGAATAATCCCTCATTTAATTAAGCAGTTAAAAAACCCCAGTGAATGCCATGTGCTGTTTCTGCTTCTCTAATCCCCACTTGGCTGCAGCTCCTTAAGGTATTCATTGAACCAATATTAGCTGTTCCTGAAAAAGCTGTTCCAATATTATGTTTCTGGAATCTCTGTAACAGCAATAATCATCTGCCAACACAGAGAAGATAGCAATTTAAGTGTATTCTTTGCATTCTTTCTACAAAGACATTTGCCAATCCATGAGATAGCTTTCCACAAAAGTTTCCTTTGCTGCTTTCTTATTTTCAAAAATCTTTATAAAAGTCATTTAAGATACTTAAAGGTATTTTATTTAGGCACTATTTTGTTTGGTTGGTGTTTGTTCATGCTCTTCAGGAATCTAAAACAGCTCAGTGAGCACGACATGGCAGCAGAGCTGTTCTGTCCCTATCTCTTGCTCTTAATTATTTTTATAACTGCCAAGTTAATGCCCGCTATTAATCCTTAGCTACTACATTGGCCACTTGCAGCCGTTTAGGCCTGACTCCTGAAACAGATTACATGTTTTCTATAGCTTTCCTGCTTCATTCTAAAGCTCCTTCAAAGCTCTGGAGGGGCCATTATTCCTCTACGAGACTTCAGTGCAGTTTAAATACAGTCTCTATGACCTTTCCAGTTGTCTTAAGCGTTCCTGTCTTAGACAATGAGTAAAAAAGGAACATTGGTCCATAAATTCCAGAGATGAACAGCTCATAGCAATGTGCTGGCCATTAGCCAGCACTTACCACACCGTGGTCTGGACTGTACAACACCACCTACAGGCAGAAGGGAAAGAGTGGAGCAGAGAAACCAACAGACCTCGTGAGTGCTCAGTCCCCAGGTCACGCCAGGAGGGAAGTCACGGCCAGCAGCAGTGGCCCTGGTGCAAAGGAAGAAGTATAAAGCCAAGTTGATACGCCTGGTTAACGAGGACGGAGGACCCAGAGCCTGAGATCATTACTGAATGCTTGTCATATGACCAGCTCCACAGTTTGTGGAATGACATTACTTGGCTCCAAAACAGGCCCATTTTGACCTGGCTGATCGGAGTGTGGAACCTTACGTGTGAAGGCTTGCCACTTGATGGCAACAAAACAAGGTATTTGGGATCCCTGGCTCAGGATGTGGGTATCAAGCAAGTGTTCACGAGGGAGTCAAAACCGTTTTCTCTCTGGGAGCAACTTCTAACAAGTGTGAAAGAGAAGTTTGTTTACAGAGACCTCCTGCAACAGCACCATCATGAAACAGCCTGGAAGACCTTGGAGGAAGGTATCCAATGCCTGAGAGAAATGGCACTGTTAGAGATACTTTTTGAAAAGGATGGGCAACCCTGATGAAGTCAGGTGTATGTCACAGATGTAGTGGAGCCTTTCACACCAGGGGCCATCTGTATACACCAGTTTCCTGGCATCACTGCATTTTGAAGAAAGCAGAGAGACAGTGGGCTCTGTAATGAATAAGCTCAGGATGTACGACAGCGTTGTCCATACCCTGCTACAGGCCCATATCTCCACTATAGAGACATTAGTTGAGAGTCTTAAGGCACTGACAACAGAAGTAAAAGATGAACAGAAAAAGGAAAACAGTTTCCATGTGGCACCAGTGTGAACCAGAGCCTCTGAGGTCAGAGCTAGACGCCCCTCAGCTGGAGAGAGCAAACAGACCCCATGAACCAAGCTGTGGTACTTCTTAGTCAACCATGGAGAAGACATGAGATGGTGGGACAGGAAACCTACCCGTATCCAAGCAACCTGAGTACAAGAGCTGAAGGAGAGAGAAAAAGGGAAGTCAGTGAGAGTAAGTGCAGTGCCAATTTCCCATGGGCAGAGATCTGACCCACTAGAAGGTACCTCCTGAATGTATTCACAGGGAAAGAACTGTGATGGCCCCAACCAAGACCTGTGTTAGAGGGGCCCTGCCTCTAGCCAGGTAGAGGCATGGGACAACTGTGTCTATTGGACTGTGTGGGTGTGGATCTGATGGCCTGGCACGTCAGACCCACAAGAATACCAGGCTTTGGCTGACACTGGGGCTCAATGCACATTAATGCCATCAGGACATGTGGGGGCAGAAACTATTCCCATTTCTGGGCTGACAGAAGGCTCTTGAGAATTGACTGTGCTGGAAGCTGAAGTGAGTTGGACTAGAAGAAACTGGCAGAAACACCCCACTGTAAGTGGTCCAGATGCCCCATGTATCCTGGGCATTGACTACCCAGGAATAGGTCTTTCAAAGACTCAAAGGGACATAGATGGGTTTTTGGAATAGCTGATGGAGAATGGAGATTGACTGTGGACTATCATGGCCTGAATGAAGTTACCCCACCACTGAGTGTCGCTGTACCAGATATTCTGGAGCTCCAGTACAAGCTGGAGTCTAAAGTAGCGAGGTGGCGCGCCACTACTGACATTGCAAATGCAGTCTTCTCCATCCCCTTTGCAACAGAAGGCAGGCCACAATTTGCTTTCACGTAAAGGGGTGTGCAGGACACATGGAACCGACTGCCCCAGGGGTGGAAACACAGTCCCACCATCTGCCACGGACTGATCCTGACTGCTACTAGAGAAGTGTGAGGATCCAGAACATCTACAGTATATTGACAACATCATCATATGGGGGAACACAGCAGAGGAGGTTTTTGAGAAAGGAAAGGAAATTATCCAGACAAAAAGCATAGAAACCAAACTTGTATCTCTTTCTCTGAGTAGTGTTATCTCTCGAGGTCTTTTCTCTCTCCTCTTACAGAATCATGTAGGCATCTTGTGCTGCTGTCTTAGAGAAGGAATGCTGCAGCTCCAGCAGTGCTGTCTGGTGCTGAGAAACCTCACAGCATTCAGGCAGTGTTGTCTTTTTTGGCCCATCCTCTGGTCTTCATTGAGGCTGACATGTTTATTGGTGCCTAACTTGTGCTCTCTGTCCCTTTGCACACTGACCTAGGCTGTCCACTGTTTTTATTTCACTCAGCATTGTGCCTGAGTAGCTGTCTATGACAGTAGGAACACTGAATAGAGGTGAAAGCAACTGAACACTGAAGGAGTACTATTCTTGCAGAATGGATTCATGGTGTTGCTCACCTTGAAGTAAGCATGCAGTGCACCCTTCAAGAGGTCTTACTTGTCAGAGACTAGGCAGAAATGTTTCTTGCGACTATATGGAGAAAATAGCAGGATTTACACTATCATCTATGTCTCTTAGCAGGGACTGCTTATTTTAGCAGACCACTTCCCATGACTAGTGAAAAGGCCTGGTTAGAGGTCTCTCAGGCAAAGGGAAGCAGCCCAGACCTTCATTACTGCTCTGTCACATAGAGAACTCAGTCTTTATGCTTTGGAAAAGGAAATACTCTGTTTCACTCCAGTGCATAAGATGTGAATGGGTATAGGTGTCTTGTGCTTTCTTCTCCTTTCTTCTGTCTTCCCATTTGTGGACTCATAACAACATGATAGTATAAACAGTGATTTGCATTAGTGTGTTTTTAACTTCTTTTAAGAACTGTTGCAGATAGCTTTTTGGATGCTCACTAGCATGGGACTTTTTAGCTTTCTCAACCATAGTTTGATCCAGCGCTTGAATGAACTTTAGCAGTTACTGTGCTGAACAATCCGTGTGTTTGATATTCAGTGTATGTATGCTTTAAGTGGATGAATATTGTCCAGACAAATCAGCATGGCCCAGGGTAGGCCTCTGCCAGTCACACTTTGGAAGGCAGAGGGCAATAAAACTGCTCAATTTTGAATTAATGTAAGCTGCTAGTTTGGATTTTCATTTTCAGAGACAAACTTCTGAAACTGTTCTTTGAAGCGTTCAGCATCATAGAGCAAAACATTTGTGTCTTTATCACACTGGAGAAAAAGTTAGGCAGCTTTTCCATTTCAGATACAGGGATTCAATTATCAGAAACTTGTAAATGCAATTTCAAAAGGGATTTCCTTACTTGGATTTTTTTTAATGCAATAGAAAAAAAGCAGGACAATTCGGGGACTTTTTATCCAGGTCCATTTTGAACTACAGCTAAGGAAATGATAGCACCTTAATTAGTTGCCCTGCTTCTTGTAGGTCTGTGCAGTTTGAATGTGGAAGTGCTGTAAGGCCAGCAGAGCAGGAAACTCTTCCTTCTGTTTTACCTGCATAATTGCTTAGTCAGTTGCAATCAATCAGAGCTGTGTATGTAAAGCCAGGTAGTGATGCATTAGCAAAACGCAGCTCAACTTAATTTGCTCTGCTTGTATTCCAAGTTGTACTCCGCTTGCTTGAGTAGCATTGAATGCACATAGTATCTTTTCACTTTTCTACAGGCCACACAGAATATAAAAACTGTTGAAGACAACAAATATAGAGTTCTTCAGTATGAAACTACTCCATTCTTTAGAGTTAATATTTGCATTAAAATAGAATCTGGTAATGTTACCAATGCACCCTGAAGAAAGAAAGGCAAATCACTCCTGTAAGTGGAGGAGGATAAATCATAGAAATTCTACTGAACTTAAACTGGTATGGTGAGTAAGGAAACAATAGTCTGCAGCATTAATACATCACTTATCAATACACACATTGCAATAAGGACAGTAAGTTGATGAGTTCAGTGAGGTTGCCCCTATTAATACCAGCTGAACATCTACTCTGCAGTGCTGCACCCGTCACATGAGAGCTGCCAAGTTGGTTTATGGAGACTGTTACTCATACTACTCAAGGCAAAAGGTCTTTTGAATTGCTGTCTTGTGTTCGTGCCAACTTAAAATGATAAGGTAAAAAGTAAGCAGATAATCAGGACTTCCCCTCCTGCAAACCCTGAACAACTCATTAATCCGTTACAGAAGTTCTGTCAACCAGCTGTGTCAGGACTGATTTAGTATACTGAACTTTTGCCTCTGCTTCAGAGTGAGCTTTGCCCTGTGCTTAAGTATTATCAAAGGGAAGGCTCAATTCTGCCAGCTGAATCTGATAATACCCTCGCCAGTATTACTTGTGATGGAAGCACAAGATTCTTAGTAAATGCAGTATTTACTTGTTCTATGTCTTCACCCAGTTCTCCAATTAATATGCAAAATGCTTTCATGTGGTAGCTATTCAGGATAAGGGCTAGAACCTCTTCCTTAACAGAGGCATATTTTATTGTCACTCATTTGTATTGGTTAGGAAAATCAGAATTAATGCACAATCTTCCTGAAAAACCTCAGATAATTTACAGTTTGTGTCCTTTGTTAAATGACAAAAAATACTTTCTTTGAGAAATTTAGGGTATAACACTTAGTAGATTCTCACCGCTATCCCAAAGAGATTAATTTAACAAAAAATGCTTACCTGTGAAGTCCTGACTGTATATTGTGTTTTCCAGAGCCCTTACAGTGTTTTGTAGCATATTGGTTGTTCTTGGAGACAGATTTTATTCTAGCTGTTTAAAAGTGGAGTTGGGGGCCACTATCTTTGGTGGCTTTGAATAGTACATTTGACCCTTTTCTTCAACAAAATTAGGAAGCTGAAGGATAAGAAGAAATCTGTAAGGTATAAACCAAATGTATGTGCTAGATGGCAAAAAGTATTTTAAAGACTTGAAATACCCTGTGTTGCGTCATTCTCCTCTCCCTCAATTGTCTGTTTAGCAGATGCTAATAAAAGTAAAATCTGATAGAAAAGTATATTTGCTACAATATTAGTACTCAAGTGGAAGTTTCAATAGATACATAATTCAGCTGAACTCAAGTCAAATAACTTTGAATCAAGTTCTCCATAGTAGTCACATGTGGCAGGCAGGGAAAGCTACATAAGCTTTCTTTTGTAGTCACAATTATAGACTGCCTTAAAATGCCTCTTATTTCTTCCATTGCCACATCTGTAAACAGTGTGTCTACAAAAGCTGTATCTTTCTTTTTTCACTGCTATTCTACATTATTCATAACTTTTATCTGTCGTCAAACTTCAGGCTGTATCCCTTTGGGAAGAGATCTAGTGTTTAGCCAAGCTGAAGAATAGTAAAAATGCGATCATTCATAAACAAATTCACTCTTCTGTTTTATGGACCAGCCCCGTCTCCATCATTACACTGGGGAAGGCACAGCTGGAGTCAAAGAACGTCCACAAAGAGGACATCTATTTTCTTGAAGACAGGGAAATAGACACCAGCTTGTCGGTATGTTGGCAGGACTTGTGGAGATGTAAGGAGGAGCAAATATCTACTGTTGCCCAAATCTGTTTCTCTGGAGGTCTGCAGAGCACAGTCTGGGCTCCTGAATAAAGTACCCCCTCCCACCTTCTACTTCCCCAAATATATGGTCAGCAGCTATTATTGCTTCTTCTTATCTCCAGAGCGACTTGGCTAAGTCCTATGAGAGCTAGTTAGTACTTTAAGGACTAGTTAGTACTAGTTAGGACTTTAGCATAGTTGCTAGCTTCTGGTCTTGTTTATATATTGCTGAGGTGGCTGAAAACTCTGAAACTTCTCACTCTTCATATTCCTGATGCCTAATTCATGGCCTGCAAGTGTTTGGAACAGTACAGGAGCTCTCTGTGTAAAAATGTCTTCCATGAAAGAGGTGCAGAGAAATTTAATTTAATTAAAAAAAAAAAAAGAAAGAAAAAAAAAGAAAGGCCTTTTGTTCTTTCCTGTGTGAGCTACATAATTGTAAGTATGTTGTGCCCTGGTCAGTGCACAGCCTTCTTCAGGGAGTCAGAGAGAATACTGACAGCTTCATGCCTAAACATATTACTTACAGGGGAAATATTTAATATATTCTAATGGGACACCATTGGTCAGAATGACAGATGAATCTGCATTTTAAGCAGATGAATCTGCATTTTAATCTGCATTTTATGCTCACTGTAAAGACAACTCTGCTGATACAAGAGGTTCTTTCTTGTGAGCTGCTGCTGCTGTCTCTTTTAGCTTTGGAAACTGACCTGATGGATGTGCAAACAGAACTCCTCTCCACATTTTTGGTACAAAATCAGCAGGATTAGATCAGATCAGCTTTGTAATCAGTATAAGTTAACCCAATGATGTGTGATGAAGTCTTTTTGGGAGCACTCATTGTGATCATCTGTACCATTAGATCTGCAAGACTAGTCCTCTTAGGCTAAGAGGTGGTAACAAGCAGCTGAGGGCTGGATCTTATCTCAGAAAAAAAAGCTGCCTTTGCAGAAGGCCATCTTTCCATGGCCAGTTGCAGGAGCTCTGAACTGATTCACACACCAACAGGGAAGATTCTTGTAGCATTTTCTGTGCATGATTTTTACAAACAGCAACAGCAAACAATAAAGCTTGATGAATTGTGAAGCTGGCTCAGAACTCATAAATGTTACCATCAGGAATAACTGAGTGCTTCTAGATGTCTTGTAAAAATCCAGTGCAGTACAGTTAGTTTCCAACCTTATTTCTCTCACCACTTTTTCTCTCCAGAGTCTTTCTGGAAAGAGTCTACAGAGCCTGGCTGCCTGTGTTTCCTTATTTAACTCACAATGATGCTGCCAGCATTAATTGCATAATAGCTACAATGAGTTTTGTAAAGGTGAGATGTAGAGAAGGCACAAAGCTTTTAAACACAACCTTCTGGTAGTAAAAGTCACCTGAGTGTGGTCTGGGTTATTGCACTTAACCAGAGATTTCTCCTTCAGTCACTGAGAACTGGAGTGTCCACATCTCAGAGGAAGTAAAAATGTATGGAGGGAACACCAAATGAAGGTAAAGTATTTTCCAAGTGCCAGTGTTAGCTGCCCCCTTAGCTAGTAATTCTGAATCTGCTAAGCTTTGCTGGAAATAGGTCTTGGTCTCTGATGACCCTCCTGTTGTGCAAAAATAGGCTTTGTAAGTCCACCTCCACACATGATTAGTGTTTCTTAAATTGACCAATGATCAATGAAAACTGATTAAAAATTACTACTCCTAGCATTACATATTCTTTGCAAACATTTTGTTTTTGGATGGACAAATACTCCACTAAAAATAGCTCATGCACCCAGTTACGTAGGTAACTATACAGCACTGTGCTGATAACTGAGAATTGCAGCTACTTAATGCAAATTGACCTTCAACTTGTGAGAAACAGTCTCTAAATATTCTCCAATTTGTGAGAAACAGAGTCTCAGGATATAATCAATTTTCAAATTGGAATTTATTATATGATAAAAGCAAACAGCATGCTGGGCAACAGAAAGATTCTGTGCACCTGACAAGAGTATTCAACTATTATTTATTCTAGCTACTTCATGCATATTTATTACATGATATACATATACATTTATGTTTATTTTCACAACTAGAGCTAGGTTGTTATCTGTACAAAAGTGATAGCTCTCCTATAATTCATATGTTCTAGACTACAAGACGCCTAAAAGATCATATCATTCATTTTAGGAAAGCAGAGATGATTTATAGCTTTTGACCTTGATGACCTTACAAAGGGTCTGCTTTATTTCTTTATGGGAGTGTAATTAAGTTTTACAATCTCTTTGTTTTATTCTTTTCTTGACATGAATTTATGGCTATGTATATGACAAACTTAACATTATCAGCTTCTACCCTTCTGAAAAGCTTCTTCTGCATGCCAGCATATGCTTTTTCTATTTCACTCAGTTATTGGCAAACCCTTCCTGACAAGCAGTACCATGGCACATAGGGGTGCCAGCTTTCTTCTGCCCCAAATTCCTCATAACCATGTGTGGTCAGTAACTGCCAAGGACTCCTCATCAGTTCGTGCAGGTGATCTTTAAAGTCTTCCAAAACAAAGTACCTGTCAATTGTAGCAGAATGCCTACAGGGAAAAGCAGATTAAGAACAAAAATTCCATGCTCTTTCCTTCCAATATGTTATGTAAAACACTCTCAGGGTAAAATGCTACTGAGGTTAAAAACAAACACCTCATGAAGGCTTACATAGTGTTCTGTAAATAATAAAGTCTAAGGCTTCATCTCAGTCTTTGTAATGGATAAGAAGAATTGTTTTTTCTCCATGTATCTTCTTCTACCATCCATGTAGTGATAAAACATTTAAAAACATTCAGCTCTTATTTCAGGGGTATTTCTGTTGTCCTCAGCAAAGGTATAGCAGGCATGACTTTGGCCCCAAAAGTGCTAGTTTTTGATCCCAATGATTTTTTTTTCTTTTCATTTTTGTTTCCCTGCTTTTGATTGTGAAGCATTATTTTTCTGACAGTAGATATCAGATACACTAAATGATCCACGTTGCTTTTGTGGGGAATAGCAGCTATGTTAATAGCTCTCTTGGCTTCTGAGGCTACAAGTTAGTCACGTGAGTTGCATTTATTCATCATTCTCAGTGCTGAGATACCCTCCAGGGAGATTGCAACTATCAGCATATATAGCTCTAGTTTTAGTCCAGGTGCTCACCTTGACCACTGATGTATTCAGATGCTGGCTCTGTTAAACTTCACTAAGAAAAGAGTTGCAGCTTCAGTAATGTTTCTAAGTAAGTTTCAAGAATAAATGGTAAACCAACAGAGCACTGACTTACCTCTGGTTTTCCTCAGAACAACCATGTCAAAAGCCTAGCTAGAAATATTGGTATGAGAAGACTGATCCCAGTGTCTTGATCCTCAGGTGATCTGAAGTTTGGGAACAGGTGTACCTACAAATGTGTGCAGCGTAGGGCTGAGAGGAGGGGAATGGCAGGCACAGTGGTCTTGCATTGGTTTGACTTGTTAGGAAGAAGAACAAAAGAAAGAAAATTTCCTTATTTCACATTTCACTGAGTTTTAGATTAAATATAACACTTTGCAAGAATTGTGAGATGTGAGAATCAGAAAGGTGATATCTTAGTTCTTTAATCCTCTCTTGCTTGTACCCTGAAAAGAATTCCCAATGATGCTGCCTTTGCAGCTTTTGTACATAATTAGTCATACTGGTTCTCATTTACTTTTCTGTGACTTAAGGGAAGGAGAACATGGACTTGCTTCTTGCACAGATCCAATTAATAGTAACTGCGTTTTTGCTTGTGTAATCAAAATTTGCCTCCTTTATTTCTGGAAGGAAGGAGGATAAAGTTAAACTGGAGATTTTTGTGGGATACTGAGAACTGGGATTTCATGAAGTGCCCACATTCCTGTAGCTACTCTTCAGCTTTCAGTTATTAAGGACAAAATAACTAAAAACTATTAAAATCAGGAGATTAATGAAATCTGAGGAAAATCAAAGCAGTGGTTTATTGCAGTAAGAGAGACTAGCAACCTATTTAGATTCTTCTAAACTTTACCACAGCTGCATACAGCAGCTTACTGGGAGCAAACACTTTCCCCCAGCTGCTGTGTAAAGCAAAGTCCCAACCTTATACAGGAGACAAATTCCATTCCTGAAGTTGTGCATCATGACATAATGAGACATCTTACCAAGCTGGGCTTTTCTGAGGCTTCTCTCTCATAAATCTGCTTTATGAGAGAGAAGCTGTGCTTTGTAGGTGCTCTCAAACACTTAAATTCACATTAGGTAAAGAGGCCATGAACAACACAGCCAAGAAAACTGGTTAGCCCATAGGCAAGTCAGCAAGATCGGTATTTGTTAGGAAAGTGGGTGTGCTGGGCAAACACTGCTAATCTGCTAAAACTAATCATTACATGCTTCATTCGAGAGAGATATTTTTGCTTCATAGTGTTGCTGCTGCTTATTGCCAAGGAACCTGCACTGTGCAATTACGGCTGTAAGAGGAACAACTTGCCCTTTTATTTCATTAAGGAAAGATAAGATACAGTGGAAACACACTTAGCCATATTGTCTGGTGTTTTGCAAAGCCTATATTAGGGAAGAAATGTAATAACTTACCTGAAGTGACCCACATTCATTTGCATCTCCCACACTTTTATCTGAATCAGTGCAATCAATATACATTAGGGACAAATCGATGTGTAAGGAGTGTAGACAAAATTCTTACTGATAACCACTCATTACATGAGGAATGTTTTGTATTGCCAGGTGCCAAAGACTGGTAGAAACATCAGGAATATGTGATGTGCAGACTGTCTTTTTAAAATAAGTGAGGAAAAAAATCTAGCTTTTACACTTTTGTGCAATAAACTCTATATTAATTAATAATGGTATGTGCCACTAGTAAAAATGAATCTTTTTGTCAGTAATGCAAAACAAAAAGCATATCCTGTTTACACTTGCAGTGAAAATACTCATTTCTTCCGTGCTGATAAATTGCTTATATTTTACCTTGAAAACTTATTTTATGCTTCAAATATTTTTTTGTTTAAACAGCAAAATAAATCCTAATTTTAAAGGCCAAGAATTTCATCACTGAGCCCAGCTAAGAGTCTCTTGGCAATTGCTCCAAGTCAGAAAAATATCTAAGATTTAAAAAAATAACTAATTTGCTTAATGGTTCTTTGTGGTATAATGAAAAAGAAAAAAAAATGCCTGAAAGGCAGTATTACTAGGCTAATCTAAGTGGTTCACCTTGAGCTCCAAAATCTTGTGTATTTCATGAGAAAAGCTTACTGATCAGGTCTTGCTTCAAAGAGTCTTTAGTGTAAATGGGTAGGAGAGGCTGTCTGATGATAGCCTTTTTTAAAGCTCTATTATTTGTACATCAATCACATAGAGTTTCTTGATTCTTCAAGCTGCATACAAAAATCTTCATATTGCCAAAACCCCTTTTTTTCCTTAGTGAGAAGAGGGATGTCCCAGATTCATTACCAAGCAGGAGGTGATGATAACTTCTCAGGGCTCCTCCCCTTGCTCAGATTGAGGACAGAGCCCTGTTGGGATGTTAATCATCCCCATAGAGACTCCACCAGTTCAGCCTTAGCAGTTCCTATGGGAACTCACTTCCTCCTGCAGCTGGGGTTTGTTTAGTAGCTTTGTTAATGGCATAGCTGTGACACTGGGAGCTGCACCGAAGCTCTCTTAAAGTCACCTGTGACTCAAGGTACAGTTTGGCCACTCCATCATGGAAAGTCTCCATAAAGATAGGTGTTGCATGGTTGCAAAGAGGAAGTATGCCCCTTCGCTCCAAGAATTTAAATATCTCCAAAACATGGGTGTTTTGAAGATAAAATTCAAGTGCCAGATCGATTTTATTTACACATTCTGATACAACATACAGAAGTTATGCATGTCACAGTGAAATCTGTGCTGTGACGCTACAGGACTCACTGCATTTAGCATGAGGTGTGATATCTCACAAATTACCCTGCCAGCATAACTCATGCCTCAACTGAGCTGAACAAAAGATCTGCTTTTAATGTGTGATGTTACAAACACAGTAGAAACTTAAACAAACTGTTCCATTTTGACAACCATTTGTATACTGTTACATTTATAATGGCTTGGGACTTTGATTCAAACTTTGTGTCTGTCTTAAAAACAGGAAACTTTTACAGAAATAGCCATCCTTACACAGCAGCAATCTTTAAATTCTAATTGATTTTCCATTTCTGCAGTTAGAACTGGTGCTAAGTATCTACTGGTGCTGTAGACATGAAGAATGCTTCTTAATGTTTCTTTTCAATTCACATTCTGTTACAGTTGTATTACTGTACACTAAGAAGTATTTTCAATTTACATTTTGTTGCGGTACAGTGTGACTTGTTACATTCCTCATTTTATTAATTGGACATATGCTGATACAAATACGCATCAGTAAGGACAATCAGACTGCTTTGTGCTCCGGCCTGGCAGAACTACTGAAGTACCTTTGTGGAGCACTTTTCATTCTAACATCTAAACTTAAGGCAGAAATAAAATAAAGATGAACATGAATTTACATGACTGCCATGATGTAGAGAACCTTTGTGAGCTGAGGTTATAACAGCCAGCAAAGCTTTGCATTTTCTAGGGTGGGCAGTTGTTTAGAGTGTTTGTTATAGTTTTAGAAGTCATGTTGGATAATCAAACCTGAAGCCACCCAGGATGGATGGCAATATACAAAGGTAGAGCTTTGTCTGGAAAGAAAGTAGGATACAGCAGTTTTTCAAAATTTGGCACTGAGATGCTTCCAATAGACTTTTGCTGGAGTCTTCTAGTATCACACAAGAAACAGTCGCTTGTATTATATTATCTGCCCCTTTATATTTAGTCCACACAGGATGTGGAGTCTATCTGTGTCTTGAAAAGAAGTTAGACTCATGCTGGAGGGATTTATACTCCCCATTTGGAAGGGCCCAGAACCAATCCAGGGACTGGTCCAGATGTAGAGCATACATTTCCCTAGCAATGAGTGCAGTGTGGGAACTCTTCAAACATATTTTGTTAAAATAGGTATAAATCAAGTTTCACATGAGAGGGAGTATCCTTATGGAGATACTGACTTCCCTGCAGTAGTTCTGCAGCTCCTCTCTGGATGCAGTGCAGAGGATTAGGTGGAGAGATACACTTGTTCAGTAACAGCAATAAAAGACATATTGGAACCTATGCGACCTTCACGAGGGCTCCCACCTAGCACTATTCTTCTACTCTATGGCACATGCTAGGAACCTCTAAAGATCTGTTTCTTCTCTCAGGTGTGGTTCTGACCTGAAAGTAATGCAGCATGGGGAGCCTCATGACCTTCACCTTCTTTTCTAGATCAGGCCAGAGAACATTTTGCTGCTATTTCCTGTTAATTTCCCCCACATTCAGTAAATTATTCAGAGAATAAGACATACCACTCTTACCAGTTTTAACAGAAAGGAAATTATGACTGGAGAATAAATTGTTTCAAATGTGTACATTGACTTTCTCTGCAACCTTTTATTCTTGCAAAGGGAGGCAATCACTTATCTTCCATAACCTCAAAAACCTACTTGCTCCGGGATCTGCAGGTCTGGGAACCCCCACAGGTCAAGGAGCTGGGGGACAGCCAGAGGAATGTAAGTTCTGTGTGGAATGATAAACAGCGAAAACAGGTTGAAACCCACAGGGAAAAAAAAAAACAAACAAACAAACAAACAACCACAGTTTTCATTCATTCTGTGCTGTCACTAAACCCACTGAAAACCTCACTGGTATGGCTTGTCAGTGGATGGACAGCTGCCAATGCTCTAGCCTGATGTGTGTGTGTATAACTAGGGTTCTTGGCAGTGGCTGAAGGGTGTTTTTCAAGGCTTTTCCTGATTTTTGCAGTCTTGTTTGATGTGAACTTGAGGACTCATTACATCTTTAGAAGGGAGGAGGCAACTATTTTTCTCCAGTACATTTAACTGGGAGGGCATACATATGTAACCCACTGCTAATGAGCTTAGAAGAGCACATCTGGATAAATCCAGTGATTGAATCTAGTGCAAAACTGCACAAGGATAGATAGTGATCATCCTTAGGGCAAAGGCATAGTTGGCCCGTGAAAGTGTACAGAGTTATTGCAAATACCTGGTAATTAATTCCCCACAAAAGACAATAATAGCTCAAAGGAGTCCTCACAGGCTATAAGGTAAATAAACTGAGTGCTAATAGCTCCCAGGTAGGTCTGCAGAGCACCACTCAGAGGATATTTTTCAGGAAAGTTTCCATGTGGCTGTCACTGTTTAATAGCCCCTGATGGCAGGAAGAATATTTGCTCTGAAAGACCTTGGACTATGAATGCGGATGACTTCTTTTTTTGTGTGTTTCACTTTTTGTTTTGAAGGATAGGTTCTTTCCTCCAGTTTAAAGGTTTTGTGAAGAGCAAGAAAATAGAATATTACAGGAAAAAGAAAATGCTAAAACTAGGACAAAACATAAAATATTTTTAGAGACCCAGCATATTTCAAGTCAAGATATGAGTGCACAGTAATGTAGAAAGTACTTCAGTGTGCTGGTGATCAAATATTTAGAGTCCAAGGTTATGTACTTTTCAGTATATATGGGGACGGAGTTCGATCTACTCCTGTGAGAAACCTCCTTCCTCCTTATATAGCTGTTACAAGGACATGGAGTCACAGCAGTCCCTGGTTGCTTCCTCTTAAGGAAGAAAATCCCCAGAAAGGTGTTGTGATCTCTGCCCCAGCCTATGTACCTGGATGATCCATTCTGGTGAGCAACTGTCTCGAGGAATGTACCTCACAGCTTTATAAAGGTGACTGTGAAATCATCACAGAATTTTCTGAGGTTTCTAATATACTTATCAGTGCTAATATGAGAGGTTATTAATTCTCTACCTTTGAAGAATGTACATCTACACTTTAATCTAAAATCGTAGTAGTTTGATCAAATGTAAGCGTTTTGCTGGTGCCATCAAGTGGCAAAATGTTGGATTGCAAAACTCCAGCACATCCAAATTCAGTCTAATACTTCTTGAACAGCAGCAGTGAGGAAAATAACCCTGGACAAACCTTCTCCAAAAATACGGATGTATATAAATATATATGAGAAATATGGACTGAAATACTCATGATGTCATAGTTACTTCAGTTTGATCTGGATTCTAACTAGTGGAAAAGCTAATATTTTTGGGTATTACTAGTTAATAAATATAAGCAACCTATGAAGCAAACTTAGAGATCCTTGTTGAAGAGATATTTAAACTGAAGTGGCACAATACTGTATTCTGAATTTCCTTTCCAAGTGTGTTTGCTGTCCTTTCTTACTAGCTAATCCCTTTGAACAGAATCTGGCCCTTTGACTTCAGATCGTATCTGCACTTCATATCACCAGAGTGGAATGAATATTCACTTTGCTGATATATTCAGTAAATTCCCAGTTTGCTTAACAGACAATTTAAACATATAGATTATCATTCATACACACACATCACTTTATTTCTCAGCTGAGTGACATCATAGTATTGTTCAGTAGGAAGGACTCTGCGCAAAGAAAAAGCATAAATATATAAAGCTTATGCTCTATTTCCTTATAAATTGGTATGGTTTTGTCTTGATTTTTCAGATGACCCTTAATATCAAAACTCATAGATGATGAGTTCTGAAAATTATCCTGGGTTTCAAAATCTACGTCATGCAGTGCTGAGTTTCAAGAAGTGCTGAACACCCATACCTGAATTTAAAGTTCCTGAAAACGCTGAGTACTTCTACCCATGACAGCCAGGCTCTCAGAGACCCTCACCAGACACACACACACACACACACACACACACACACACAAAAAAACCCCACACCCCTAACACTCAGCAGGAGCTGTGGGAATGTGTCAAGTGGGCACAGGTTTTAACTTTTGACCCTATAAGGAGTTATTTTATATCATGGGGATCACTTTCAGCTCCTTTTGATGCCAGAGGGCTCACAGCATATAGCCAAACTGTGTGGTGCTTTTCACTGACAAGAATCTGAAGAGAAGACAGCTCCACACCAGAACCCAAATACAACAGGAAAGGGTGAACGTAAGAGCCCAAAAGATGAAATTGTAGTTGGAAAAATCAGTTATAACTGGTAAAATTTTCCTGGTATTGGAAAAAGCCTTACCGTTCTCACCTGGCTTTGCTAAAGCTGAGCTTCACTCAAAGCATTTAATCAAGTGTCTTTTGCTAAAAGGAATGGGTGGCCTTAATTGCATGGCTGAAGAAGAGGTGTTGGCTGCAAGAAAGGCGGAGAAATGAGCTGAATCAGAAGATATTTGTTTGACTTCTGTGACTAGTTCAGTGGGTTTGAGGGTTATGACACGGTTGAACAGGAACATGCTTAAATGCTCTGGCTCTAACCACACACTCATAATGGTTATTGTCTTCCTTCTCTTTCCTCCTTTCACCATGGCATAAATTCTCTTTCTAGCATTAAAATGGAAACCTACTAACCTGGCAGTGCTTAGTTTTTGCCTAGTTCAGTGCTTGTGAAAATGCACTTTTCGCTGCTTCTCTGTTGGATGCATGCAGGTGGCCTGGCTCAGTAAGAAACATATTGCATTTTGAAGTCTTTTGGAGCAGTGCTGCTGCAAAGTGAAAGTAGTTGTATCTGTAGGGGGATGTCTTGTTCCTTGTCCTTTGAATCAAGAAGTGGATGACTTTTCCATTGGTATCTGTCTGCCCCTCTCAGAAAAGTGTGTGTAGTTGTAGTAGTTTGGGTATAACTTGGAGAGGGGCCTGGCTGTGGATGGGGGTTAGAACCAGAGATCCCTTCCAACCTGAATTTGCCTGTGACTCCACTACCTGGAAAAAGAAGCTTTCATGAGCTGTTCTTCCAGTGTTCTCCTTGCATCTTGGCATCTTCTGGGTAGCACTGGGCATTGCTTCATTTCATTCTCCTCTTAAAGCCAACTTTACCAGCTCCTTGCCCGCATGTGTAAAAGCCACATATTAGCCATGTAGAGATGCACTGGAAAATATGTTCTTCATTTTTTTCTAATAGAGATCATACACATCTTACAAAATTATTTAAAAGCTGAAGCACAAGCAATCACACCCCTCTTACCACTAGTTTTAGAACCACAGAATCAGTGACTTCAGTACTTGCCCTGTGTACTATATTTTCACAGCCAAAAGTTCTGCACATATATAGAAAATACCAATATCAGCATAATTTAATAATTTAATATATTTAAAAGAACCCTAAATGTGGGATATAATTTAAATACTTTTGTATGGTTCTTATGAAAAAACCATATTGCCTCCATAAAAAATCGATTAATTCTCACTGTGGATATTTCCTGAAGTTTTATTTGCAAGGTTTATACCAAACGTATTTATTTAGGCTTCTTATGCTTCCCCTGCTGAAATTTGTGGCACTACTATCACAGGCACAACCACTAAAATACTTCATCTGCGCATCTTGCCTACTTCAGCTTTCTCCTGTGTAATCATTTTCACTAGTGTAAGTTTTTAATTAATTTCTAGCCTGTATCTCTGGTAGGTTCCACTGAGATCAGCTAAACTGTTGCTATTGGGGTTGCTGTAGCTCTGCTGCTTACCTGTTTTCTGTGTATTACAGAAACTTAGTGTGGAGGAGAGGCTACTCTTATTTTGCCCCTACAGTAGCACTCCAGCATTGTGGCTACCTGGGTTCAGGTAGGTCCAACTCTTCTGTGGTAACATTTCACTGTGAAAGTTGCCCAAGACAAACAACACAGGTTTTTATAAAGTAGCTTGCAAAGCTCTTCTCCCTTTCTGACTGCTACACTGGTTTTTTGAGATGGGGCAGGTAGTGGCTATGACTCATCTACTTTATCATGAGGTGTTACACCTAAGTTGGCCAAAAGCTTTCCTTGCTTGCAGTGTGAGAGTAGGAATGTAGAGACACAGCCTGTATACCATCTAGGCAATTTCCACTTTGTGGAAAAGGGAAGGCTTGTTTCTGGTCTTCTTTTTCTCTTTAGAATGGGATTCACTTGGATTGATTAGAGGCTCTACACTAGTGTGCCTGGACAACAAATAATCCAAGGGATTGCATATCCAGAAAAAAAAAAACAGGAGTAATGAAAATTCTTTTTAAAGATCATTATACATTCTTGCACCAGTTGTATCACTACAGGATCACAGCACCTTGCCATGCTTCTGGGATGGAAGTCCCATCAGCGTCATTTAACGAGCACAAGTGCTGGATTCTCCCCCTGGGATGCAGTAATCCTGGCTATATGTACAAACTAGGGGATGAAAGGCTGGAGAACAGCCCTGGGGAAAGAGATCTGATGTTTGGGTTGATGAATCAGCAGTGTGCCCCGGCAGCTGGAAGAGCCAGCTGTATCCAGGGGTGCATCCAGCACAGCGTAGTGAGCCGATCGAGGGAAGTGAGTGTTCTGCTCTACATTGCACTGATGTGGCCCCACCTCGAGCACTTTGTGCTGTTTTGAGTGCCTTAACATAAGAAGAACGTCAAACTGTTAGAATGTGTCCAGAGGAGGGTGACCAGGATGGTGAAAGGCCTCGAGGGTGACTTACAAGGAGCGGCTGAAGTCTCTTGGTTTGTTCAGCTTGAAGAAGTGAAGGCTGAGGGGTGACATCCACACAGTCTGCACCTTCCTCAAGGGGGGCAGTGGAGGGGCAGGTGCTGATCTCCTCTCTCTGGTGACCAGCGATAGGACATGAGGGAATGGCTTGAAGCTGCACTGGGGGAAGTTTAGGCTGGATATTAGGAAAAGGTTCTTCACTGTGAGGGTGACCAGTCACTGGAATAGACTCTCCAGGAAAGTGATCATGGCACTAAGTCTGTTAGGGTCCAAGAAGCATCTAAACAACGCTCTTAGTCATATAGTTCAGTGTTAGGTAGTCCTGTGAGGAGCAGGGAGTTGGACTTCACGATCCTTATGAGTGTCTTCCAACTTGAGATATTCCATGATCCTTTTACCTAGAGGTTATGTCATGATAACGTAGAGGAGAACAAGGACAGGGAGGCATGTTTCCAGTCTTTGAGTTCATGTTTTAATTCTTGGATGTTGTAGTCTGCATCTTCCATTCCTGTTCTCGAAGGAAGACTGCAGGACTATCCTTGGACTTCTCTGAGCCCTAAGCAACATGTTCTGCTTCCAAAGTCTTTTTTTTTTTTTTTTAATTATTCATTTATACTGTTGTGATGAACAAGAAGTTTTGGAACTGGTTTTGGTGGAAGTGGCACCAACCCCACTGTATTCTAAAGAAAAAATTGGCTGTGGTAAGAGGCTAGGAAAAGGAGCCTTGACTCCAAGAGCATACCCCAGAGTTCTTCCCCTCAGCTATTGTCTAGACAGATCTCTTCTTTTACAACAACTTTCTGAAAAAGCTGAGCACTGACTTTTCATTTTTATACCTATGGTATTTGTGGATGCTGTAAATTAGGCCAGAAGTGAGATCTTCAAGGTCAGGAAGGGTGTTTGGGGCAACAGCCAACAGTAAATAATTATCAAAGAATGGACAAAAAGTAAATATGTAAATTAGGAACTTCAAGGGTTTTCAGCAAAATACTGTGTGGAGATTTGTGAGTACCACAATATTTCCACATTAATATTTAGGTATTGTAGAAAGAATAAAAGGTTAAAGTCCGATTTTCAGAATGCAGATACTTGCACATCTCTACGCTGCTTTCCAGCCTATTAACTGCCTGGAGCTTTTCTTGGTAAAAGCACTTCCCTTAAGCATTTTGACTGTGAGAAGTGTATGTGTAGCCTACACTGGCCAAGAGTCTATACCGCTACCCTAAGGCTTTTATGTCTTTTGTCCTTTAACAAATGTACATGGAGGTTCTTGTCTTTGTTCTCTTGTCTTCTGGCAGTACAGGTAGCGCAATTCCTCCATGCTCTCTTTCTGCTCTCCAGGGAAGATTGCAGCAATGAAGGAATTTCCTGAACTCTTTATATCTGAAAGAATAAAAAACCCCACAACCCTCCAAAATATACTTTGATGGCAGCAACAGTGATGGTTACCTGAAATTTTTTGAACAATGACAACTTGGCTTTATTTTCATGGCTCTGACTTACTCAGCTTATTGTGAGTAATGCTATTATGGTGAACAGTCACTAGGATAAGTTAGTACAACTCTGATTGGCAATTGTTTAGTGAAGGTTGGATCAAGTCTATTATGTTTTGATCTGTGAGAGGAAGAAAGAAGGCGATAGATACATGGAACATGTACATCTTCCAGTGTAATTGAGTCCCAGCTGCCAGCATGTAGATACATGCACTGTCCTCCCAGTAAGGGAGGCATATGGACAGCAAATATATGCAACAGAACAGATGGAAACTTTAGTATCTAATTCCCACTGATTTCAGAATTTCTTATTTATGCTTTCGAAAACTTTTTCTCTCTATCTCTAGAGGGGGAGAAATGTTATTGTTTAGTAGCTGTAATTCACACTGAATGCAAGCTGTGTCACCAACTTCATATGGATGTGCTGGTGGCTGAGGATACTCAGTACATTTCCATATGTCGGTGTAATTTGAAATCAAGCAGTTTGATGTGTTTTGATGCGTGTTCACCTCACATAGTTTTAGTTTACAGAGTTGTTAAGATGGACATCAAACTCACAGAAAATTTAGGAATTCCTTTTCTTTTGGGTTGCAAGAATTTTTCAGTCAGGAGAACACATGCACATCCAACCGTCACATCCAACCGTCTTATTAAGGAGTCAAGTCCTGCAAGGAGCAGGAAGGTGGACTAATGATTGTTATGGGTCCCTTCCACCTTGATATATTCTATGATTCTGTGATTGTGTAAGAGCTGAAGTGAGTGATTTAAATTTGACTTATCTGTCAGGATTTTCTGAAAACCTTATCGTGGAAGTAATGAACTGCTGTGATATGTGATGGGGACGGTCACCCTCGGGGTATTTTACTGGTGTGCTGTCTTCATGAAACCAGAGAGAATGATGTTTAGGTGAACCCTCAGACATGACTGTTTTGTCAGCCCTTCCATCACTGAGTGACCCCTATTCTTGTTTAGCTACACCTTATCTGTACTACCATCTTTTTCTGATATTGTGTGTTTCTTTACTAAGGAGTGAAGCAGCTGGACATGGCTGCAGACCAGTAGGAGTGCCTTTGTTGACTGCAGTGTAACCACAGCACTGCTATCACAGCACAGGCTGTGGTGAATCATGCAGATATTCCAAATTGCTCTGACAGGGCACAGTTTCTCTGTGCAGTGCTCCTAAGTATGGCACTGCTCTAGGTTTCTGGATGTGTGTTCCTGATAGAGCAAGGTGTATCAGCTAACAAAATTCTTGTTTAAGCAGAAATGTTACTAATCTTTGCTAGCACTGAGCATTACTTTGGAAACAAAGGGAGGGGGTGTTTCTTATTAAGCTATACTGGGAAAAAGTGCCACTCTACAGGTACTACCTGTATTCAGGCTTATGGTGTGTTTCAGGTATAAGGTTCCTCTAATTCTGATTTTGTCTTACATTGTTTCAGAGGTAGAGTAACATCCCCAAGCACACACCTAAAACGTGAGAGGAAATAGGCTCATTATTATGTACCTATGAGCATTTCAATGAACACTGCAATCCTAACATTTGTTTTGAGTATAAACTTTTAAGTAATTTACAATAATGGCTCCAGAAACTTCTCAGAGTACCTTTTGACTCAAAGTGTGGCAAGTCCTAGATATCTAAATAAATCTTAGGAAAATCTGTGTGAGAGGTCATGATCTACAAGACACAGACAAGGCTGGTACCTCATGGTTTGTTCCCCCTGGTTTCTTGGCAGTGCAGTGTCCTGTCACGTAGTTCCTTCTGTGTGGTTCAGCATCACTGCTGCTGTCTGATTCTGTTCCTTTATCCATTTTGCCAGGGAGCAAAGGACAATACGTTTGTATGGTATGATGAACCAAAAAATGAATCTGACGTGCCATAGATTATCAGAAAACTTATCAGGGTTTTAGGTTTTGAAGGAAACCCAAGCATCCATTTCTTAATTTCTGTCTAAACTTTTGTTTCCCCTTTCTGAAAGTAGGTGTGGCTGTGATGTTTGTCTTCATTAGGCCAACTCTCATTGGAAACATAAACCATTCCTGCTGACTGCTATCTATGGGCCACTAAGTTGCAGAACAACCACTTTGCCTTAGACATAAAAGAGAAGCATCGTATACCAAGGTCTGATCATCTATTCAACCCAAATAGGACTGAGTTAAACTTACAATATTTTCAATTCTTCTTTTCACAAAGGGCCATTTATAGCTGATACTGATCTAGTGATATTGAAGATCTCAAGGACACATGAAGAAGTGTCTCAGCCCAGAGATTGTCAAAAGTGGGCTATGTTGAACACATTTTTAAAGATTGTATCATGAACAATCCTTAAGAGTCTCAACAATATAGTCAGTAATTTAATAGGGACTATTAGCATTTCTAACTTCCACAATTATAGCTTTATTCTGAATTCTGACAGACAACTTCCATCTTTCTGGCTCATTTGTTCTGAGGAAAACCCCAAACCACTAAACAACTAATTTTCTGGGATCAGAACATCAGTTTGCTAGTGCCTCCTGTATTATTAAAAAGTTACATTTTCCCCTTCATATTTGTTTTGTTGTGGGGAGCTCAAACCAGAGTGTATGAATCCAGTGTCCTAACTTGTGAGCTTGTGAAGGGCTCCAGGTTTGATCAGTGGATTTATAATCCAACACATCAAAGGGGGTCTGTTGCCAACAGCTTCCAGAAGGTCTTTGGAAAGAGAGTTCTTACTCACACTGGCATTTTAATCTGGATCAGGAGTCTACTTTTGACGTCGGTCTTCCAGTGGTCTCTATTTTGCAGTGCCTTGGTCTTGGAGTACATGAATTGGGTTCCTTCTGGATGAAATTATTTGGGAGATGTGCTCCAGAAATTCACCAGGAGGGTGCTGCAGCCATAAATGGACCCTCAGTCCCTGGAATCACACTAGAGTTAATCCAAAGTAAAAATGTATTTTTTCTGCACCTCACATCCTCAGCACCAACTGTATCACTCTACACATCTCCTGTATATGTCCACAATACTTGCCAAGTGGCATAGTCACTGAGTAACATATTGATGTGGAATTCAGTGATTTTTTTTTTAATGGGATAGGCTGAACTTTTTAAAATTAACTCTTTCCAATAAACCTATACATATATATATACACGTATATATATAAAAAATCTTAGTATATCTATGCTGAATCTGACTCTCTGACTACCTGATCATAGGCTAAAATCCGTAGATACCGTCTTTGTATATATATATACAACCTAGCATTAAACAAATACATCTGTGTCCCTCTAGTTATTCAGGGGCACTGTTTATCAATGCAAATATTGGTAACAAATACTCTAGTCCAAGAAGATAATGTAATAAAACTCATGGATGCCTTATTTTTAAAAGTTGAGAACAACTGTTCTATGTGTTTATTTGTTTGTATTTATGTGACTAGGAAAAAATGCAACATTTTTAAAATGTGTGATATTGTAAAATATGCAGCCACTTTATATCCAGGCATGGATTGCTGAGTTCATGTGAGTGTGTTTACAGTAGCAGAAAAATGTAGCTTACTACATGTGTTACAATACAGATTTTCCTGTTCACAGAGAAAAGAATGTTACAACCTGGCTATGTTTGTAAACCTTTCATGTTTGTGTTTCAGAGCTGGGGCTAACATAGTTGACACCTAAAAGATGTTTTGCTGATGCATTCAGATCCTGACATCATAGCCCATTTTGAGCATAATATTTCCCTTTTTGGGGTATCTTGTGTCAGCCAATGTGATTCCTACCTGTACATTTATTACAATTTAGATCAGGCCTTCAATTCAGTAAACTTTCAAGTCTATCAATAGTTAGAAAAGGCAGATGGAAATTCACTAAATTCCTGTAATGGAAGGAATACCACAAAAACTTGCCTCAGGGCAGAGATGTAAGTGGGAACGCATCAAGACACAGTTTGACAAGTGTGATAATCCAATAATATCAAAGTACTGTGACTGAAATTCAGATGTTGTATATGAGACATTACAATTAATGGAAGAAGTTATCAGTAGAAGTAAACCAGAAGGCTGTCAGAAAGATGGAAACTAAGAGCTGATTGTGCTAACAAAAGAGATAAAATCTCACATGAAAGAACATTGGAGGATTCGAGGCTTAGTCTGGAATCTGTTATGTATGAAAAAAACCAGAAATTTAGATTAAAAAAAACTTGTCAGGAGTACCAAGCAACATGGAGGTTCAGCTTTACAGATCTTTGAAAACTGCAGGAATTCTGCCATATTCTGCAGCCTAGCTAACAGTATAACTGAGTCTGCAAAATACAATAAAAACCACATTTATTCCTGGAACTTCACAATTACACATTAATGACTATGAAAGCAAAATGCAGACTTCCTGTAATTTTAAATTTTATTGGAAAAGTTTATCTCAGTAATTCTAGGTCAACCTATAATCTAGAAAAAGATATAGTTTAAAACAGGAGTAGATCAAAGACTAGCATGATAGATGTTGGTGAAATATGCTAATTTTTTCCAAATTAGAAATGTAATATACATATTGGTTTTATTATTTATGAAAATTATTTCAGGAGATTTTGAGTGCTAAAGCCACAGAAAAATGTATTTTAGCAGTCCTCTTTTCAGCTGTAATGAACGTATTTCCCAGGAAACTGACAGACTATTGGACAAAGTAGAGGATATTTTGGTTCATTAAAGGAAAAAGAGAAAAATATGTCTTACCAGAAAAACATAACCATGAGAAAATACTTTTGGTAACAGTAAATTGATATAAAATACTTCTAATGGAATAATTTACGTTTACAAGTTATGTTCTTACCTGTCTTGTGTGACAGCTGGACAAGAAGGAATTTGAAGTAGAGTTAGTACCTCATTTGAATCAAAGGTTTTTGCTAGGATTTCAGGTCCCTCATTTTTTCCACAGTATTGGTGCAGGTCATGTGGTAGCATCATGTTTCATATATGAACTTTTAGGGGAAGATGCAGGATAAAATACCAAATGTCAAAGAATTTGTTATTCCAAGCAATGGTTGCTTTTACTACTGGTTATTGTACCAGGCTAGAAAAGAAAACAAACGAACAAACAAAAAGAGACAGATTAAAGAGGTATGATACTGTTGCTTTCTGTTATTGATGAATATAAGCTAGAAATAAGCTATCAAGTAGTCAGAGGAGAAAGTTTAGACTTCAACTCAGAAAGTCTCACTTGGTGAATTCAGATTCACTATAAAGTTCCAGTCCCACTCTGAAAAGGATATTAAACTCATGATACTTTAAAAAGAAAAGAATTTTTTTTCCTTAATTGCCATGATTTTTGTTTCCACTTCTGTGCTGAAGGGAAATGCTTTAGTCCTTCTTTCACTGGAATGAAACTGTATTTCAGTACTGATTGACTAGCTGTTTGTGAGGAGAGGTGCTGTGCTAGGTCAGTATAAACCCCTGTGCGCTCCAGAATGCCATGTGGGCATTTATACCTAAACAAGTTACCTCTGTTGTGAGCTGCTCTGCTGTGCAAGAGAAAAGCACCAGGGCTTGCACTTTCTACCCAGTGAAGCTCTGGTTCACAGCGACAAAGTCTTCTCTCTGAGATGGAGTAGACAAAGAAGCAGTACTGCTTCCTTCCCCATTCACCAAGAGCCAGCAGAGCATCCCCTTGTATCTGTGCCTTTCTTCTTCTGGGAGAATCCTAAGGAAGCCCCCAGGAGCCCATTTGCTCTAAGACAAGCACAGCAGGGGCATGTAATAATGTCTAAGTTTACAAATACAAAGGGAAGCACTCTGCTCTCCACAAGCTGTGACAAAACTAAAACCCAGTGGTTCATCACGTGGAGAAGGCTGAGAGGCCTTTGTTTGACCCCCTTACATTTTCAGTTGTACCTTTAGGCCATTTCTGCACTGATGTGCTCTTATGGTCTGCTAGGTTTGGGATATAGATTTTACAATGGCAAGAGGAGTCTGAGGGGTCTCAAGGAGAACAGAGAAATATATATTCATCTCACTGGGACGCTTGCTATCCTGACTTATGTAAAGCTTTGACAACAAAGGATATTATGATCAAAACCTCTCCTGCTCTGGAATATGTCAATGAAATGCAAAAGGTTTTGCTTTGCCTTATTAAAATAGGAAACTAATTTGAAAATATTTGAAGTATGTTATTCTTCTAGGATATCTGGGGTTTTGGGCCATATGTTTTTGAAAAGAAGAAGCTGATGTAGCATATTCAAGTGAAAAGAAATCAAATTAGTTCTATCATGCTGGCAGTTTATGGAGTGTTGGGTGGTCTGCTATGGCATCTACATGAGCACTATGGGAATCTCATCCTGGTGATTCAGATTCAAGCACAACTGGCTTGCAATGAGAAAAATATTCTGAGTTGATCATCCACAATCTGCAAGTGGGCAAGAAACAGAAGGCAAAATTTCCTTCCAGCAGAACTGCTGTGGTTCTATAATGTAATGCAGTTCTGAGTCCACATTATTCAGACCTTAGTAGAATTTCCTCTCTATCCAGCTTTAATAACCTTTCTCAGACATGTATTTCTAGCTACCAGAATTACAGGTGGAGCTTGTGACTAGTAGATTTTTTTGCCCCTGCCTGTTGCACATATAGGGAGGTGACACATTTCATAGGTTTTCCTTGCAACTCCACAGCAGCAGATGCCCACTGAGGCAGGGATCTGTGCCATCAATTTTACTTCATCAGTCTCCTGGCATTTCAATCATCATCCGTAGCACCAGATCGTGATCTGACTTCATTCAGCTCCAAATCCCCAACGTGCATACAAACTTACACCCATCTGCAGTCTTATCCAGCATATCAACACCAGTCCCACTGATAGGCAGTAACGCATATGCACTTGTCAAAAGGGTTCTGAAGGTATATGTGTCCCATGTCCTGCAGCTGCACTAGTCCAAAGCCACTATGCAAATCCTAAAACTTGCCTTCATCTCCAGAAAAATTGTTCATTGCACAGCACTTTCAGGTGGCTGGCTTGGGGACCACAAGTTTGTAGCCATTCACACTTCCCTTTAGTAGCAGGATCCAGACCCAGGGTAAAGACATCCCTTTGAACAGTGTTCTCTGAAAACAGTCCAGTGCATGCAGAAGAACACACACTGTCTGTCCAGTTCTGTTCCCTGGCAAACTGGGCCAATTCTTTGGTAGAAGAAGCCGAGGGGATTAGAACTCAGTGACTGAAGTCCCAAATCCTTATTGATCTAGGGGAAATCACCCACGAAAGAACTCACTAGTTTCCAGGATTATTTCTCTCCAAAACAGGAGCCATGATCATACACATTGCAGCCCCAGAGCTTTCAGAAATCCATGGTCAAGAGAATGAATCATCTCACTATGAGGCTTTGATGAGGAAAAGCTTCCAGTGGGAGAAGGCAGGAAGGTATAGGAAAATTATTATTCTGAGAAATGATACCTATCCAAAAATTGATTTCTAAATGTAATAACCTTTCAAATATTGTGTTTACAGAACCCCAAAGAAATTATTACTCCAAATCAGGAGACCATTTTTGGGGAATAGCCCCTCTCATCCCAAGCTTTATTGTCTGTCTCTTTGGAAGAAAATGTTAATAAGAAACTGTGTAGGGCAGAACTCAGAACTAAGCCTACCTTCTCATTCAGTCCAGTGCACTATGACTGTGCTTTGTCTTGTGTTCTGGTAGAATTTGACATCACAGTGAGAGGGTGTTTGGGATCTTCTGGAGTGACACACAGAACGAGGCAGCTGCTGACGCCAGCCGGTGGTTAATTGTTGCATGAAGGTGGAGGATGTTAGAGAACACCTGGCAGCTGGGATCCAAGACACACATAGAGTTTTACCTCTCCTGAATAAAGCAGTAAATACGACCACAAGCCAAGCCAGTTACAGAAAAATTGATTTGGAATAATTGAGTGAAATCATGTGGGTGTCGGTTCCATTCCTGACAAATTGGTCGAGCCTCAGTAGATTTCAAGTAAGGCAGGCAGCACAGCAGTGTATACATACACTTCTGCATAGTGCCAATTTTTACTCCCAGACTTGGAGATACCAATATTCTTTGCTTAGGTCCTGTGTGGGATTTTCACACCATCCTTCAAACAGTTGGACCTGGCCACTGGTGGAGTTTGGATTCTGGTTAGTTGGCTTGCTGGATGTTTCTGCCTTCCTACGTTTGACAGACATGCTGATAGATTTTGATCTGGTTTACTTTCTTCTGCTGACCTTTTCTCTCTATGTTGTTTTTGTTTGAGTTGAATTGGCATCAAAATAAATGGATGTGTTTGAAAAGAGTGGTTTTGTTCTGTTGTTTTTCTCACCAGTCAGAGCAAAATTAGCTGGAGGTCCTACTTTTCTTGGAAAAGCAGTGTGAAAAAAGCCGAAAGCATGTCTTTTGGCAAGTGATAATACATAAATAGCCTTTCTGAATACCTATTTAAATGCACTGTCATGTTGTTAATATCCAGTAGAGCCAGTAATGGGTTTATTATGATTTTGGACCACTGGTTTGTTTTTAACATGGATGGCTTGGCCATCACATTAAAGTGAACTACTCTTTAATGTCTGTGCCATGTGCAAGTGATATAGCTGTATCAGTGATTTCCAGAGTTCACAAGTTCAATATAACCTGAAAAAAAATATTTTCTGTGTTTCTTTTTCATGCTTCATCCTAGCCTAGAGCTGGATGGATGGAAAAGCTAAGCAGAATCTTTTCATTAATTTCATTAATTACTCAACTGTTGAAAAATCTCTGTTATTTCCTTCCAAAAAAATACTGTGAAAGATTTACAGTTGTGGTTTTAAGATATGATGGGAATGACCTGCCTCATTTATTGTTTTAGAGGGTGTGCTGACTGGAGGAAAAAGGCTTAGGATGTAATTTCTACACTCTCATTCTTCACACATTTGTTCTTCCCCATATGCAAGACTTTCCATTTGCCTTTGTTGAATTGCATGAGGTTCCTATCAATCCATTTCTCTTGCCTGTTCAGATCCCTTTGGTTGGCATCATGACTCACTGGTGTATCAGGCACTCCTCCCAACTTTCTATCATCAGCAAACTTGCTGAGGAGGCACTCTGCCCCATAGTCCAGATCATCAATGAAGACATTAAACAGGACTGTCCCCAGTATTGGGTCCTGGGGTACACTGCTCATTATTGGCCTCCAACTGGACTTTGTACCACTGATCATCACCCTCTGGGCCCAGCTATTTAGCCAGTTTTCAGTCTTTTCATCCAGACTGTAATTAATCAGCTCCTCTATGAGGATTTTATGGGAAACAGTGTCAAAAACATGACTTAAAGTAGACAATGTCCCTTGCTCTCACTATGTCTACCAAGTAGTCATTTCATTGCAGGTCATCATCAGATTGGTCAGTCATTACTTCCCTTGCTGAATCCATGCTCCCAATCACTTTGTCCTTCATGTGCCTAGAAGTGATTTCCAGGATGAGTTGTTCCATCTCTTTCCAGGGATGGAAATAAGGCTGAGCAGCATGTAGTTACCTGGGTCCTTCCTCCTGTCCTTTTTGAAGATACAAATTGCATTTACATTCTTCCAGTCCTCAGACATCCCTCGCAGTTGCCATGAATGTTCAAGATTTAGAGTGGCCTCAAGATGTTATCAGTCAGATCCTTCAACATTCATCCCAGTAGGGCCCATAGACTCTATATGTGTGTTTTAAAGGTTTTTCAAGACTGCTAAGTAAAACACTCTTAGTGCTTTTAGTGCATCCTGTGTCATGAAAAATATACAGAATAAGCTTGCCACAACCAGTTCTACTTCTGAAATGCTGTGGAAGTCCAGAGACAAAAGCAGAAATGAGGTAGTATTAAGAAGCATGATCATTTAAGAATTCTTCCCAGGCTGTTCAGGAGACCTAAGCAAAGGTAACCTCAATCCAATTCTAAAAATGACAGTTTAAAGCCTGACAACTTTACTACTCAAGCTATATACTTAAG